AGGGGGGAGAAAAAATGAAGACCTGATGCCAGGGGCTTAAGTGGAGAGCAAATGTTTTGGGAATGATGAGGGTAACGAATGTACAAATGTGCTTTATACAATTGATGTATGTATGGATTGTGATAAGAGTCGTATGAGCCCCTAATAAAACGATTAAAAAAGGAAATATTTAAGGCAAAAAAAAAAAAAATTCCCCAACTCTCATGGCTAAAGGGTCCTGAACCTTCACTGATCAATATAGATGATTTAAAATTTTTACCATATAAAAATATTGCCAAACAATATTTTTGGCAAGAGTTGATACATATGAGGATACTTTTAAAAGTTTGTGAAAAAATTCCATTTATCTTCTAATTCCATTTTTGCCAGGAACTTTTTGAAGCCCCCTCATAAAGTTTGCACAAAGCTTTTTCAAATATTGTATTATACAGTGAGTGTTTTCCCATATTCCTAAACATTCTTCAACAACATGACTTTCATGAATAGGTCATTAATGTTCATTTGGACTCATAGGTTCCCAACTATCCTTTATTCTAATCAATGCTATGACAAAATTCTTTGTACTTAAATCTGTATGAGCACCTCTGGGTTTCAACAAGATACATTTCTAAAAGTAAAATTACTACCCTGTCTACGCAAGTATAAGCTGACCAGAATATCTGCCGAGACACCAAATTTTACCACAAAAACTGCATCTAAAATGTGCTAAGAAACTCGGTGTATACTCGAGTATATACGATAAATCAAAAGGCAGGCATCCTTCATGCCAAACTATCTGCCCCCCAAAGCAGTATTTTTCTTGTTACTGCAGAAGTGTCTCAGCACTGCAGCCCTGCACATGCCAGGTGACTGATGCCGCCCTGGGATGACGTGATGCTGCTCCTTGCAAGTTGGAGGAAATACTGGCATTATATAGCTAGTAATAAAGCAATTCTTTATTTATCTGTTGTAAATGTACTCATGATTTACATTTCTCTTATTTGGATTGCTAACCTTTTCCATGTGTTTATTTTTACATATCTTTAAAAAACATTTCATTTAAGATGAAATTTACATAACAAATTGGGTTCCCACACACAATTTCTGCAAAATTTATTCAGCGATACAGGTTATATTTTATACACTGTTCTTATGATTCTCATTTATTCTGTTTTCTACTATCTTGTACCATTTCCCATAATCTAGTTTCCCTTCCTCCAGTTCAACTTTTGCTTTTCAGGAATTTTTTGACCATTTGGTTTCATATAGATGATTTTTAAAAGGATTTTATTACTCAGGTGATATTTTGTATCTATCAGCCAATCTAGCTAAAAGGTGACATCAAGGGAGAATTTCAGTTTATCTATCAAGATCCATTTGTTGTGGGTCTGATCAGAATGGTGGGTAGTGGTAGCTGGTCTCAGACCAGAAGCCATGGTTTGTGTAGCCCATTATGTTGTGTTGCCAAATGGATAACGTTGGAGTCCATTCAGAGACATTTCAAAAGACAGGCCAGGTAGATGATCTACTTCCAAAGAAAGTCCCCCCCAAAACCAGACACTGAAATCGCTAAGGCGCCTAATAGTTGTACTCTGAAACTCACAGGCCACCGCAGCCAGAGCCAACTTCATGGGACTCTTACTTGTATACTGAGACGTGAAACGCTGCTGGGAAAAGCCTAGTACCTTTTATTTATTTTTCCACAAACCTTTTCAAGTTGTCATACCACTTCTTTAAAACAGATGGGCTACTTCCAGTTTTCTACTGTGTTAAAATGACTTGTATATTCCTGTGCCAGCATCAGCAACTTCGATTACAACAGACTTAACAATTGACCTGTTCTTGAACAAATTACTGTGAATTAAGTAATTGCTAGTTTTGCATTCAACAATTCACACACGTTTCAGCTCATCCACTGTAAGCCCCTCAACGTATTCTCCACTTTGTGTATCATCACTTAGTCCGCTTTAGTCCTGTGCTTCGTTTCTTCCTCCTCCTTTCCTACCATCCCTCCTTGGGCAAATGCTGGCCTCCTGATCTGAAATGGTTGATT